AGTATATTAAGACACCTCATCATACACAAATATTTGTGACATCTATCACAGAAAGGATTAGTAATTTCTGTATCTTAACAGTGTGTAAAATCTAAATGACAAACTTGGAAAAGATGATTAACCTACTTGGTCAGAGAAACACAAATTAACAATGAGAGTGTGTAACTTTCAGGTGTCAAAGTTTTAAAAAACTGACAAGATCTCGCCCTGGCCAGTGTGGCTCAGTTTGTAGGAGTTTTGCTCCGTACACCAAAAGGTTGAGTGTTCACTTCCTGATTAGGGAACATACCTAGGTTGTGGGTTCAATCCCCAGTCAGGGTGCATATGGGAGGGGGCTGATCAATGTTTCTCTTTCTCCCTTCCCCTCTCTCTTCCCCTTCTCTCTCTAAAATCAATAAACATTAAAAAAAAACCCCAAAACCTGACAAGATCTAAAGTAGATTTCTGCAGGGATTCAGAGAGGAGGGTAATCTACATTAGTGGTAAAATACGTATATGTATTTTTTATTAATCCTTACATGAAGATATGTTTATTGATTTTTAGAGAGGTAAGAAAGGGACGGGGAGAGAGAGAGAGAGAGAGAGAAACGTTGATGTGAGAGAAACATCGATCAGTCGCCTCTTGTACACACCCAGACTAGGGATAGAACTCACAACCTAGGTATGTGCCCTGACTGGAAATTGAACCCTGGACCGTTTAGGTGTATGGAATGATGCTCCAACCAACTGAGCCACTTGGCCAGGGCCATTACTGGTAATATTTTGATTTTGGAAGAAAAGGTACTGGATAACATCACATGGTAGTACGTTGCAGTCTGTTCAGCTTCTTTTAAATTCCAGGATGTTTGAGCATTTAGTGCTTTACTGTAAAAGGTTGTCTACGGTTCTGAACTCTTGAATTGCATTTTTAATGGGTTTTTACACAAACTGATTTGTTACTCATCTTCAACTTTTGTTTCTCATTTTGTTTACCCTTAGGAAACTGCTTTCTAGGGAAAAACAACCACCCATAGACAACATAATCCGGGCTGGTTTGATTCCAAAATTTGTGTCCTTCTTGGGCAGAACTGATTGTAGTCCCATTCAGTTTGAATCTGCCTGGGCCCTCACTAACATTGCTTCTGGAACATCGGAACAGACCAAGGCTGTAGTAGATGGAGGTGCTATCCCAGCATTCATTTCTTTGTTGGCATCTCCCCATGCTCACATCAGTGAACAAGCTGTATGGGCTCTAGGAAACATTGCAGGTACTTGTCATTTTAAGTTCTTTTGACAAGATGTGTCTAATCATGCTGAGGTTGGGAGAAGTGGTTTGTTTTTGTTTTTTAAGATTTATTTCTTTTTAGAGAGAGGGAAAGGGAGGGAGAAAGAGAGGGAGAGGAGCATCAGTGTATGGTTGCCTCTCGCACGCCCCCAACTGGGGTCCTGGCCTGCAACCCAGGCTTGTGCCCAGACTGGAAATTGAACCAGCAACGCTTTGATTCACTGGCTGTCACTCAATCCATTGAGTCACATCATCCAGGTCTGCTTTGTTTTAAGTAATAGTGACCTTTGTGTCAAGTTTTGAGCTTGCTTTCTTCTAGTGCTTATTAGATGTGAAAGTGGCATCTAATTAAGTTAGGGAATTTCTGAGTGTTGTATTTATGTTAAGAAGTTGGTGCACTCGGTCACTGAACATTGATGGCGCTAGAAGAGTAGGTAGGATTAACTTTTCCCTTTTTTCAGGTGATGGTTCAGTTTTCCGAGACTTGGTTATCAAGTACGGTGCAGTTGATCCTCTGTTAGCTCTTCTTGCGGTTCCTGATATGTCATCTTTAGCAGTAAGTTACTGACATAAGTCAAGTTACTCACTCGCTGATTCTGATTTTCCCACCTCTTCAAAAAAAACAGGGCCTTTCATTGCATTTTTCTTTTCCCTCAGTGTGGTTACTTACGTAATCTTACCTGGACACTTTCAAACCTTTGTCGCAACAAGAATCCTGCACCCCCATTAGATGCTGTTGAGCAGATTCTTCCTACTTTAGTTCGTCTCCTGCATCATGATGACCCAGAAGTATTAGCAGATAGCTGCTGGGCCATCTCCTACCTTACTGATGGTCCAAATGAACGGATTGAAATGGTTGTGAAAACAGGAGTTGTGCCCCAACTTGTGAAGCTCCTGGGAGCTACTGAATTGCCAATTGTGGTAAGTTGTTAACTTTCAGATGAGAACATAAAGTATAAGGAACTTAACTATTTGATATTAATGTTGACATGTTGCTTGTTTGAGGCCATGATGAGCCTATTACTTGTCAAAGCTTTGGGGGGTATAGTTTTTGAGCAATATTAGATAAAATAAAAGGCAACTCAGCATATCTCTCTCTTTTTTTTTTTTTCTTTTCAGACTCCTGCGCTAAGAGCCATAGGAAATATTGTCACTGGGACAGATGAACAGACTCAGGTTGTAATAGATGCGGGAGCACTTGCAGTCTTTCCCAGCCTGTTAATGAACTCTAAGACTAATATTCAGAAGGAAGCTACATGGACAATGTCAAACATCACAGCTGGCCGTCAGGACCAGATACAGCAAGTTGTGAATCATGGATTAGTCCCATTCCTCGTTGTTGTTCTGTCTAAGGTAATGAAGCTTTATGCCTTAATCCGAGGATTGTTAAAGGAGCAGGCATTTGGTAGAGCTGTGTCTGATAAGATTCTTTTTTTTTTAACATTTTTTTAAACTTTGTAAATAAATTTATTGATGGATTTTGAGAGAGAAAGAAAGAGGGAAGCATCGATTTGTTTTCCACTTTATGCATTCATTGGTTGCTTCTTGTGTGGGCCCTCACTGAGGCTTGAAACTGCAGCCTTGATCTATCAGGGTAATGCTCTAACCAACTAAGCAACTGAGCCAGAGAATAAGATTGTTAATGTACCAGTGTTGGGTTGGACTTGCATTCCTTTGCTAAATAATGTCCAGTAATCTCTTTCACTTAAGGTTCTATAGTCACTGTTTTTCTAAAACAGTACTTTCAGTGTCTTGCTTTTACAACCATTCTGAAATAAACCTGTTTCGTTATGTTTATTAGGCAGACTTTAAGACACAAAAGGAAGCTGTATGGGCTGTGACCAACTATACAAGCGGTGGAACAGTTGAACAGATTGTATACCTTGTTCACTGTGGCATAATAGAACCATTGGTAAACCTCTTAACTGTGAAAGATACCAAAATTGTCCTGGTTATTCTGGATGCCATTTCAAATATCTTCCAGGTAGGTCTTAACAAGGTAATTTGAATCTAGAATAATAATCCTTGGTTTATCCATCACCCAGTGTAAACAGCTTGTCAGCATTTGGCTTATTATCCTACTTCCCCTTACCTAAGCCTCCTAACTTACTTTATAATAAATTATTTCATCTGTAAATATTTATATAGCTCCTAAAAGTTGAGGATGTTTAAAAAAATCAAATCACAGTGTTCTAAATAAATTCTTTTTGATATCAGCAAATGACTCAGGGCAATTTGTTTCATGTACTATAGACAGTGGTTCTCCACCTTGTTTAAGAGATTATATATCCAGGATGCTCTTACAAAACAGAAATCTGCATCCATCACAGACCAGTTGAACCTGGATATAGTGTCATTTTTTAAAAATATTCTATTAAATAACTTGATAATTATAGAATTAAAATAGATAAAATTATAAAATTTAATGTGAAAAATAGTGTCATTTTTATAGATGTCCATGTAATGATAAACAGAAAATGTTGAGAGCTATTTGAAGACCTTTGTGGCCAAAAGCTACAGAAATAGTTGCTAAGAGAAAGTACAGATCTGATCACTTTGAATTTTTATTTTTTTAAGATATTGTTGTCATTTTTAGAGAGAGGAGAAGGAAGGGAGAAAGTGAGAGAGAGACATAAATGTGAGAGAATGATTGGTTGCTCCTTGTACGTGCCCCAACTGGGGCAAAACCCAAAACCCAGGCCTGTGTGCTGACCGGGAATCAGTCAGTGACCTTGGTGACCTTTTGCTTTGCGGGAGGACACCCAGCCAACTGAGCCATACCTGTCCGTGCTCTCCTTGAATTTTTAAAAAGATGTAAAATGGAAGTAGTTTTTACATCATAGGGTTGTTGAAGGAACTGTTGAGTGTTATTTCTGTCTGATAAATGTTAGTACTCAAACATAGATTGCAATTGTTTTTAGGCTGCTGAGAAACTAGGTGAAACTGAGAAACTTAGTATAATGATCGAAGAATGTGGAGGTTTGGACAAAATTGAAGCTCTACAAAACCATGAAAATGAATCTGTATACAAAGCTTCATTGAACTTGATTGAGAAGTATTTCTCTGTAGAGGTGAGTGACATGGTACTTGGAAAGTAGACATTTAGGGTCAAGTTTATAAACTTTCTCATATTTTTTTTTTTAAAGATTTTATTTACTTTGAGAAAGAGGGGAAGGGAGGGAGAGAGAGAAATTGGTGCCTCTCACATGCCCCCAACTGGGGACCTAGCCCTGCAACCCAGGTTTGTGCCCTGACTGGGAATCAAACCAGCGACCTTTCAGCTCCGACGCCAGCACTCAGTCCACTTAGCCACACCAGCTAGGGCTTTTTTCCCATACTTTTTGTTGTTGCTGTAACTGGGACGCATTTATTTGTCCAACACTTTAGCCCCTCGCTTGACACAGTATCCAGATAAGCAGTTGGCTGTAACTGGTAGTTTTTGTAAAAAGGACGGAACTACACTTTAGCCAGATTAAGTTGCTGTCAAGGACACCACCACGCCCTCAAAGTGCCTAAGGCCACAGCCTGTCTCTTCTCCACCGCCATCCACCCCTGGGTTAACTGAAGCTGCCTGTCTCACTGATCAAGGAAAGATGAGCCAGGACTGACTGGTCAGGCACGAGTAGGTAGCAGAGCCTACAGGATCCCCCACATCTCCCTACAGCATTTCAGCCTTAGCTTAAGGACTGGGTTGTCACAACCCCTAGAAAACCTGCCCCCAGCAGCGCTAGTGCCACCCTGTCACTAGTAGTTAAAAAGGCTGCCGGTGGGAGACAGTCGGCCCCAGTTATGTGCTGGCATGTGCCCTGGTGCTGGAGCCTGACCTTTTCTCATATTTTTTAAATAAGCCCTGAACCCTTGATAATACAGCAAAATATCAGTGTAAATGGGACATAATGTAATGTACGTATTTGCTCCTCAAATGTTTGGCTTGATAGTATAATCTTTTTAACCTGAGAATTTTTTTTTTTTTAAATCACCCATTTACTTTGAAATGAATAGCCTTGGGAATCTTAAAATATCTTGAAGAGTAAGCATGTCAGTGGAGTAAGCTTGTCACTGGAAAAGTAGGTCATACTCTGGGCCTAATGAGCAGTTTTTCCCTTGCCTATTATAATGAGAGGTGGAGAAGAACCTTCTCCTCCCATGTACTAACGAATTGGCAAGTTTTGGCAGCCCTCTCCCTTCCTTCACTTTTTCAAATATGGTACAGAACTGAACGGTGAATTATGCAGATAAAGACCTTAAGAGTAAATACAGACTTCTAGCTAGGCTACTGCTTAGAAATATGCCATATTTGTGGGATTTTATTGTTTTTTCTCTTAATAATTCCAGGAAGAGGAAGATCAGAATGTTGTGCCAGAAACTACCTCTGATGGCTATGCGTTCCAAGTTCAGGATGGCACTCCTGGGACCTTTAACTTCTAGATTGTACAGCTGAGGCATAAAGTGTTGTTTGTTGTGTACTATGTTTGGTATAAGTTTGTCTTAACCGTTTCTCTACTAAGAACTCTTTTTAAATGTGGTTTGTTATTGTAGCACTTTTTACAATGAAACTATACTTGAACAGTTCCAAACTGTACATACTGTATGAAACTTCTCTTCTCAATGGGTTTCTTATTTCTATGTGAAATTTCTTATCTTACAGTGTCCTGTAAATAAAGATTAAGTTCCACCATTTACGTTACTTCACCATGCCAATGTTTTGCTTTCCAATTTTTGGAGCTCTTAGTTTAAAATGAAGGGTAACAGAATCAATGATGTGACTAATTAGAAGTGTAGTTATAGTTACGGACATCATTTGATATGACATTTGTCAAGGATAGAGGGGTGATAACTTTTCCTTCCTGTTCCTGAATTCCGGTTATGCTCTAGGCTGCTGCTCCTCTTGACAATGATGGCAGTCGGCATATCCATTTACACCAACCAGGAAAAAAAATTTGCAGTTTTCACAGAAGAATGAATAAAATTTCCAAGAAGCTCTCGGCCAGTCTCCTAGAGTCTTCGATGGCCAGGGAGATGGAATAAAAATCTTAAATTTAATAATGAATCTCCATGGGTTGCAAGTGAAATTCATTCCTCCCAAAGTTCAAGGCATCACCTGCAAAGTTTACCCAGAAAGATTTGGTAAGGCGTTGGGTCCAACTATTCTACTTTTCTTTCTAATTTAATCCCCTGGTGCTCGCTCCATGCACTCCAGGTTGAAAGCCTCTATAAGGAAAGCTAGCTGTGCTGTTAGCAGAATAGGAAAGTGGGGTGGGAGTGTTACTTACGGTTACCCCATAAGTCTTAGGAAAAATGAAATGATTGAGGAAGTACTGTCTTGTTTCTGCTTTCTGAATTACCAGAAAAGCCAATCTTCCTCTGCTGAATTCTGACAGCCTTGCCTGCCTTTTTTCCTGTAGATAAAATACCATGTACTAGAGGTAGGGATTTGGGTTGAAACTAAAAGGTGATTTATCCTTCGCAGCGTGGGCCTGGCGTAATGGCTCCCGCAAAGAAGGGTGGCAAGAAGGGCTGTTCTGCCATCAATGAGGTGGTAATCAGAGAATACAGCATTCACAAGCACATACACAGAGTAAGTGCTGCTCAGGAAGTGTCCCCCTGGGGTACTCGGAGATCTGGAAATCTGCTGTGAAGGAGATGGGAACTCCAGATGTGTGCATGGACACAAGGCTCAACAAAACTGGGCTAAAGGAATAAGGAGTGGCCCATACTGTATTCATGTGTGGTTGTCCAGAAAACTTAGAAGAGTCACCAAACAAGCTCTACGTTATCTGCGTATCTGTCACCATGTTCAAGAACCTATGGTTAAGGTGAATGAGAACTAACTGCTGATTGTCAAAATAAAACTGCAAAAAAAAAAAAAAAAAGTGATTTATGACCTTTAAGGGCACTGTATTCACTAAGAAGGTAGTTTGCAAGTCAGTACTACAATGCAACAAATTTCCATTTACCTTCTCTCAGCAGTGGGGATTCTTCCCCTATTTCAGCATACACATAAATACTTTTTTTTTTTTTAGCAAACAAAAGTTGCTTTAATTTGCTACTTTTCATTTTGAAAGGTCATTATAGTATTGTTTGCAAAATTCAACAAGGAAAGATGCCACAGAGGCCATGTTCTGGGAACCACTGGGAAACACCAGCTGTGTGCCAAAATGTATTTACATTTTGCCTTTTGCAGGTAATGGGCTTTTTAAAAATTCCTGCATGGAATAGAATGTTTAGTGCTTATCCTGTTTGGTTGCAGAAAAAGAATGCAAGTTTCTAACCTGGAACGCTAAACCATGTTACATGTGATCCCCCTAAGCTTAGACCATCTTGGGGGCCCTGGTCTTTTTCTTGTTTTTCCTGTCCAAAGGCTTCCCCGTGAAGGACAGGGGAAGGAGAAGCAACAAAACTGTGGGTCTGTAGAGTGCCTTCGGTTTCCCAGCTACTTGCTCCACTCCCCCTTCTTCCTGTTCTTTCCGAGACATAAGTCCTTTCTTGGATGCAGAATCCAAGTCTTTTCAACTTAAGAAAAAGTAATGTGAAAATAAATCTGGACCCTGAAGATAGGCGGAGCTTAATGGCTGTAGAGGGACTAGTGTGAAGAGTATTATGTCTGGGTTTAAAGCCTGATTCAATATGAAGTAATGGACAGGAGACAGCTGATTTCCAAAAATACAATTTCACATTTTAGATAAAATTTCTTACACTAGTTTCCTTGGAGTTGTTAAAATTGTTGAGGCATTTATTATTTTTTTAACTGGATGAAATTTTTGACTTGAGTTTTTATATTCAACTTCCTGTTTCAAAGTCTGAAGAAACAGCCCTGGCTGGTGTGGCTCAGTGGATTGAGCGCCAGGCTGTGAACCAAATGGTTGCTGGTTTGGTTCCTAGTCGGGACACCTGCCTGGGTTGTGGGCCAGGTCCCCAGTGTGTGGCGTGCAAGAGACAACCACACATTGATGTTTCTTTCCCTCTCTAAAAATTATAAAATATTAAAAAAAATAAAAGTCTGAGAAAATACTACCTAGTCACCAATTTTTTCCTCTAATTGTTTTTGTTGATAAACTAAATTTTCTTTTAGCTCCTAGCAGTTTTTAATCTCATTTAAGACTTTACTAATATTCCTTTGCCTATAACTTTATTTTTTGTATCATAAATAAAGATGGGAAGGTTACACAAATTTTCATGAGGCAAATACCAAAACTGCTGACACATTCTGCTTGTTACAAAAATCTTTAATAACATAGAAGACTTAATTTCAGTATTAAACATTTCACAAAATATTGATTCTTTAAATTGCTACATCATATTTTGGCTTTAAATCTTATCAAGCTACTGACTATATTTGGAATAAAGTAGGAAATAAACATTTCGTTTCCTAACTGGTTTGAGTTTTTCCCCCTCACCTTCCAACTTTCTGTGGCAGCATCATCCCTGAAAAGATAAACTCTAGATAATGTCTTGTTATAGTAAATCCTCACTGTTAAATAAGATTTTTGTCTTAGTATTTGGCCTCTTAAATTGCTTCCCTTTTTTTTTTTTGCTTCCAGAATCAAAATTGTGTTCACCGAAGTGGTATTTTCCTTTCCATCCTATCAATAGTGGTAAAAGCAAAATCTTGTTTTGTTTGTATGGGCAGTTGGAAAGCCTGTGAGATACACGACCCCAAGTTCAGAAGGCCATTAAGGGAAGTGCAGTTGGCTACTCCTCACCTCCCTCCACCCCGCTGAAGCTTGCCAAAACTCAGCTGGCTGACTTTGGAAAGCCCTCGAAATATATCACTAATGGTGCTTTCTTTTGAGATTGGGCTGTTGACCTCATTTGTGATGAACAAAGCCTGGCCAAATGATGCAGCATCCTCGTGCCCCTAGGGAAAGTGTAAGTGAAAATGTCTTAGCAACATTACTGGTAAGTGTCCTAACCCCGGCTAATAAAGATGATAAAAAACACTCAAGCTATCAAGTAGGGTTTGTTTGTTTGTTTTTTTTTTTTGAGGACAGAACAATTTAATTTTGAATATTTGTATGTTAAATGACATGTTGGCATAGTTTGAAAGCATAATTCTGGCGTCTATAAACACCCAGTTCCTCCTAAATATTTGGGAGTTTCATAACATGGTGTAGGAGTTGTATTAACCAAACCCTTTTAAATTGATCGGTTTATGCATTCCTCCCAGGCTTTTCACAATCATAAATGTCTTTCCCCATCCTCGTCCTGGGATGGGGCGTAGTGGCATAAACTCGTAATTAGGAGCCTGATCCGCCTGAGTTCGAATATGTTAGTGACCTTTGGGCTGTTAAAATACCACAATCCCTGACATAAAATAAGTACTCTTTAGATATTAATTACTATATAATATTAATATCCCAGGTAAATATAGCCATAGAACAGCTATTCCCAGCCTTTTAACGGCAAATATTTTATTTATTCTACACACTTCTCTTTTGGTATATTTTACCTTCTAGGCTATTTACTATTTTTTTCTTGATCAATCACAGATATAAATCATCATGAGCTCACCACATGGTTTGTTTCTATATTCAGTGATAGGATTCTATCCAAAAGTTGGATGTTTTGTCCACCTTTAGGCCTTTTACAGGTTTGACATAGATTACTGAACAGTGGAACTGGCCCAAGGCCCACCAGCGTTTAGCCTTTGCAACTATCTGGTGAGAGCTGAGTTCTCTGTGTCCGCTGTTAACCTTTCTCTTAATTCTACTGGACAAAATATGTGGAGCACCCAGTGTCCTACTGGCCCTGAGAACAGCCATCTGAGCCACCAAGTCCAATGTGGTGATGGTTTGCCTGGAAGCTTGTCAGCGTAAACAACAGATAGGCCTTTACTCAGTAGTGATATGAAGCTCA